TGCAGCCCCGAATTTGTAAGGAGCTATCACTCCGGAGTCTACAGAAATGTTTATTTTAAATTTTGTACTTTTATTTCAAATTGTGACACCTGTATCCAGGCTCTTGACCTCCAGTCGTTTCTCAACAGAACAAAAACATTTTATCAACAAATACGACTCGTTGTTGTTAACCCTTTCGTCTCTTCTTGGTTGTAGACAACTGGCACAAAGATGGACCCTAGTACTGTTTGTTGGCACCTGCCTGCTCTACTGCGCCCGGATGGCCATGCCCATCTCCGCCGTCACCATGGCAGCCACCTTTCAGTGGAGCAAGATCGACTCCGGCCTGGTCCTGGGTGGATTCTTCTGGGGTTACTGCTTCACCCAGATCCTGGGTGGACACGTCAGCGACAAGTACGTACAGACACGAGGCACCGACCCGAATGGAATGGTACCGGTACTGTTGGGGTAATGTTGTGTTTGCTGTGATGTTAGAGTTGGAGGTGAGCGAGTCCTGGTTGTCTCTACAGCTCTGTGGGCGATGATCACCATCGCAACGCCGCTCCTCGCCCACTTCGGTTCTCACGCTCTCTTCTTAATGGCTCTGTCCAGATTTCTGATGGGAGTACTGCAGGGTGAGTACTGCACCTGTCACGGTATGATGAATTTTCAATAAAATATACAGAATATACATGATCTCTGCTATATATACATACATATACATATACATATATACGTATATATACAGTATATATGTATATAGACATATATATACATATATACAGTATATATGTATATATATACATGTATATATACATATATACAGTGTATATATGTATATAGACATAACTGCACCTGTCACGGTATGATGAATTTTCAATAAAATATACAGAATATACATGATCTCTGCTATATATACATACATACATATATACTGTATATACATATATATACAGTATATATGTATATACGTATGTGCATATATACATATATACAGTATATATATATATACAGTATATATGTATATGTATACAGTATATATGTATATAGTGACAAATAAAGATAAGTTTAAGTTTAAGTTTAAGTTTAAGTTATATGTATATATGTATACTGAAGCACAACAACTCCAAATGTATATATGTATATATACATATAGACAGTGTATATAACAACTCCAATAATAAAATGTTATAAATAATAAAAGCTCTAAATATGCATTTTGCTGAATTTTAAATTTTTTAAGGTTTTAGCAATCAGGCATGTACAGTAGATGTATCTATATATGGACTATATATATTTTTTTATATATTTTTCAACTATATGAATTATATAAATCCTAGATTAAGTTATATTTAGGCTAAAATACCCAGATCCTCACGAGCAGAGCCTCATTCTGTCATACATGTTCCTGGGTCAGAGGTCAGAGGTCAGTCTGATCATAAATTTGTCTTCACTGCATTAAAGAGTGTGTATTTACTGTGACACGAGACAAAACAAATCAAATCTGTTGTGAATCTTAGACTCAAACAGGAATTGTTTTGTGTTTATCTATAAGAATTTGCCTGAATGAAACTGGTGTAAATACATTCTTTTTTTTTTACTGAGTCAAACCGGTCAGTCAGTGGTCACAGCTGACGTGTGTGTGTGTGTGTGTTTGTGTCTCAGGTGTGTTCTTTCCATCTTTGGCCAGTATTTGCTCACAACGAGTATTGGAAGGAGAGCGAGGATTTTTAATGAGCACCATGCACAGTGGCTGTTACATGGGGTGAGTAGTACACGCACACACACACACACACACACACACACACACACACGTGACCCTGTGGTGCAGTGTTAATTTTGTCACTGAGTCACTGAGTCAACGGCCTTCTTTTCTAAATCAAATCTAAACAGGAAGTTGTGCGGTAGAGATGAAGCTAATCTAAACAGGAAGTTGTGCGGTAGAGCAGCAGAGATGAAAATCTGGCAGGGGACAAATCTGTCCAATCAGGTGGCAGCCAATCTGAACTACTGTTAGATAGAAGGCGGGGCATGTAAACAAAGGTCAAAACCAAATGATGTTCAGTAGGAAAAAGACAAGGACAGACGTGTGGAACCCCATGATCCTCCACTCACACCTTAACATTTGAACTGATCCGTCCTCAGAACAAGTCTGTGCTGACGTTGTGTTCTCCTCTCCTGCTGCTCCGTTAGAACCCTGGTGGCCGGAGGGATGGGATCCGTCATACTGGACCTGTACGGCTGGCAGAGCCTGTTCTACTCATTCGGTGTCCTGTCCGTCCTGTGGGCCCTTTTTGTGTGGATGTTCTTTCTGAAAGGTAAAGTCTGTCTCAGAACACAGTCTATTATAACGTCCTACAAATGGAACGGCATATGTTTTGGTGAGACTATCCGTGTGTGTCCAACCTCTGGTCCAGGGGACTAGGATGGGCCTTAAAGAGGTCATATGTGGCCCTGATGTCAAACAGGATGTCAAACAGATGATATTTTAGCAACAACAACAACAACAGTAATAATAATAATAATAATAATAATAATTTATTATTATTTTTTGAATATTAAACGGGAATCTTTAACGTTTTGGCAATGTTGAATTATATAAAACTAAAAAAAATATTTTGAAAACCTAGTTTTATTCATATATTTTGAAGATGTGGTGAAGTGAAGTTAATTAAGTGTTGACTCCATTTTGTCCATGTGGAAAGAAAATGCCAAGTCAAACCAATCAGTGAAACAGACAGTTGAAGCCTAGCTTTAGCCTAGCTTCAGTCACGCATCACTTCCTGTTTCATCAGCCACACTTGGTTAATTAACTCTCGTCCCTCAGGGGTTTAGATTGTTAATTTTAAATCCTGCCTTTGGCTTCAAGACTCTGGAGTTTAGCTTCGTTACCTTCGCTAGGTGAATATTTAGCTGTTTTTTTTCCTGTGACCTCGTTGTTCCCTGAAGCCACTACAAACCAACTCTTTAACATTGTGTTCATTACTGAAATGAATGTAAACCCAAGGACTCTGTTTGTCCAGAGTTGCCTGACAGTTTCGTCTCATTTCGATCGCTTTACGCAACCACATGCTAACAATTTTTAAATCTTTGGTTTAGGTGAGGTCACTCCCAAACAGGTGAAAACAAATAATTCCTCACAGTGGACCTGGTTACGTTTGTTGGCTCTGCTCAAGAATCCGCCCGTCTGGTGAGGCTGGTTATTTTATTTTCTGATTTCCTCCGTGTCTGCAGCAGCATCAGCTCAGTCACTGACCTTGGTGTCGTCTTCTTCTTCTTCTCCTCCTCTCTAAGGGCCATGGTCTTCACTCACATGTGCATTTCCTGCACGTCCAACACGTTATTATCGTGGCTGCCAACGTACTTCAAAGAGTCGTTCCCTCACGCCACGGTATTTGTTTGATTCAAATCTAATTCTTTGTTCAGAAAATGAATGAAATTATTTTCAATATACAATAATAATATTTGTTTTTTCAAGTTTAATATAAGAGTTTCCTGGAAATCCTCAGGTCGGGTCAAAGCTCGAGGGCATTAAGAATCAGTGATGAAATTGCAATTTCACCGAGTTAAAAATAGACTAGAAGAGGAAAGGAAAGAAAAGAGGAAGGAAGGAGAGGTGAGAAGATGAGAAAGTTTGTGAAAAGTCTTTAATAAAACCAAGACCTTGTTTCTAAACCCCCTGACCGTGACCTCCGCCCCAGGTAATGGTAGCCTCCGTTCTAAATTGCAGGTTTTTATTCCGATGGCCTGAGTTCAAACACATTGTTCCGATTCCATTTTCAAACAGGTTTTTCTTTTGATCCCTGATTTGTTTTCACACGCAGAGCTGGGTGTACAACGTGGTTCCGTGGTTCTCGGCGATCGTCTCCGCCATCACGGGGGGATACGTGTCGGACTTTCTCATCAGTCGAGGTAACGAAGGACCTGAGCTTTTTAACCTCGTCTTTCACTGAGCTTTTTCTTAAAAATCACACCATTGTTTCTGTGTCTTGTTTCAGGATATGGAATATCAAGTGTGAGGAAGTTAATGCAGGTGAGTGTGTGTGTGAGGTTTCCACAAAGTTGTAAACAGTTCTTCCTGACATGTCAACGAACCGCTGACTGACTGCTGGAATGCCTGGCCTGCTGTTTCAAACATGCAGCTACAGGCCTGGGACTGTGTACCAGTTCCTGTGCATCGCAACACATAAAATGTCAGATCACGACCGGGGGGTTTAGACTGCGCTGTGTTTCTGATCCTGATTTGACAGTGTTCACCAACAGTAACGGGTTGTTCCTGTACTGATGTGTGACGCGTGTGTTTCCTCATAGTTCCTCTCCATGGGTGTGTCCAGTATGTTCCTGATGCTCGTCTGTGAGAAGACGTTCACCTCCTTCACCTCGGCCCTGTTCTTCATTTCTGTCGCCGTGGGTTTGACCACCTTCACCAGTTGGTGAGTTCACGTGAGAGATTTGATCAAGTCAAATTCACAAAATGTGTTGACCTTTTGAGTTTCAATATTTAAATAGGAAAATTAAAAAAAAAATTAAATAGAAAAGAATAAATAAAAATTTAAAAAAACAATTAAATCAGTTAAAATAATTTAAAGAACAATTAAAAAAGCAAAAACTGAAATCATTTTTCTGAAAATATATCAATATAATATTGAAATTATTTCTTAAAAAATATAAATATATATTTATAAATATAAACAAAATCACATCAATTTTTTATGATTCTTACAATATTTGAAACAAGAGGTAGAAACGTTCAAGTTCTGAACACGAGAACACAAAGTACAGGTTCAGCCACGTAGAATTTACCCACATATCGTGACACGACTCTGGGTGAAGATTGCCCGACGGGCGTGGCTAATTGATAAACAAACAATATAAAATAAATGGCATAAAACAAACAGGCGGCGCATCATAGATAGAATTAAATAAATATATAAAATTAAGTAAAGACTCAGACATTTGGCACTGACAGCCTGTGTGTTTTCAGTGGTGTGTCTGTCAACGTGCAGGACCTCACTCCATCATGTGCTGGCGCCCTCTATGGTGAGTTTTAGGCACTACATCTTCCACCTTTAAAAAAAAAAAGCAATTAGTTTATTGACTGAATTTTATGTTCTTATCTACAGGTTTTATGAATATGATGGGCGCTTTCATGGGTACATCTAAACCTCAGTTTAAAGTCTAAAAGAAATCTGAAAGAAGTGACTTGAAACTAAAAATACTTTCTTTTTATTTCACAGGCCTGCTGATGGTCGCCCTGTGTGGTTACCTGATTGAGGTTTATCAGTCCTGGGCCTTGGTGTTCAGGCTCATCGCATTAGTAAATTCCACGGGACTTGGGATCTTCCTGTTATTTGGAGATGCTCAGCGTGTTGACGTAGACTGCTGATGTCAGAACCTGAACCGAAACCAAAACCAGAGCCGGAGTCCATTGTGTTTTGGAAACCTTGCTGTGAAATCCTGTGTGAAAACCGCCAATCCGTGTGAGTCACCTGGACGAAGGAATCACATTTGTGCTGCAGCGTGAAGCAGAGAGAAAACGGACATGAGGAACACACCTGAAAACAGACTTGAAATGAAGGAGCTTGAACGATCCTGCAGGTGTGTTGTTACTGTCAAATTGTGTTTACAGTAAGTCAGTCTGAATTTAACGAATTTACCACAGATGTATTTAATGTTAGATATGTGGTTTGCCTATTAAAGTGTTATCTTCTTTACTCAAAGTACAGTCAGTTAATTGTATGTTAAATTAAAGATTTAAAATTAACTGCTAACTAACTTTAATAAAAACGTCACAACGCAACTTAACCCTAAAAATAAAAATTAAAAGCAACCTTAAACTTAACGCTAATCCTATCTTATTCCGCAATGTGGGGGCATATTGTAGCTATTTACATTTTTATGTTTTTTTTAGGATGTTATCCAAAAATTCCAAACTTTATTTTTCTAATAAAATTTGAAAAGTTTCTCAAAAGTGACTAAAATACACTCATTTGCACACTCAAATAAGTGTATTTTTAGTTATTTATGAAAAACTTTTTTTTCTGAGATTTGTTCAGGAAATTAGGAGGTGGAGCAGGTGGAGGAGGTGGAGCAGGTGAAGGAGGAGGAGGAGCAGGTGGAGGAGGAGGAGGAGTAGGTGAAGGAGGAGGAGGTGGAGCAGGTGAAGGAGAAGGAGGAGCAGGTGGAGGAGGAGGAGGAGTAGGTGAAGGAGGAGGAGGTGGAGCAGGTGAAGGAGAAGGAGGAGCAGGTGGAGGAGGAGGAGGAGCAGGGGAAGGAGGAGAAGGTGGAGGTGAGGTAGGAGGAGGAGGTGGAGCAGGTGGTATAGTATATCACTGT